GGGTGGAGGGACGGCGCAGGAGAGGAAGGCCCTCTATGAGGTGGATTGATTCAGTGACTGGGATAATTGGGATGGGAGTGTCAGAGACGGTGCGATTGGCACAGGACAGAGCGGAGTTTAGGGCTGTTGTACATAGGGTCGCTATGAGTCGCAAGCGACTCAAGGGCACATAACAACAACAATAAAGTCTATCTCCTTTAGGCATTTTAATGCCTTTCTTTCATACACACACAAAACAAATTAGCAACAACAACAACAAAAATTCACACTGGCCTTCTCTTTTCCCATCTCTCTCTCAGGAACAGTAACGGGGGATTTGTCTTATTGCCTTCTCAGCATCCCTCACTTCAGCAGCAGGAAATCTAGGTGTTTCAGTCTGCACTATATATAGATTGTGGTGAGAAATACTATTGAATCCAACTCTTTTAATTTTTCAGATAAAGACACTTGAGGATAGATTTGACCACAGTTACACATACCAGCAGCAAAATTATTATTAAGCTATATCTTCACCCATCCCACAGAAGCCATTAAGGATAGACACAGAAACTGATAACATATCAACAGCAATAAAAAAGCAATAAAAGAGTACTTACTTGATTTCAATTAGCATATATGTAATACAAAGAGCAAATGCTCCTGCAAGATCAATCAAAACAAATGGATTCATTCGTGGAAGAAAGATACTGCTAAGTCCTGGAATAATTCCACACACACTATGAAGAAAGAAAAAAAGTATTTATTAGCAGACCAATCAAAACTGTATACAACAGAGCCTGCACTTTAGTATTAGAAAACATATCCTTAGGGAGCTCTGTTGCTCTAGTGGCAAGAAGCTGCACTGCAATACCAGAGGTACGTGGTTCGAATCCACCAGATGCTCTACTGGAGAAGGAGGGACAATCTCCTCCTGTATCAGTCAGATCTGATTTGATGGTACACTCACACAAAAATAATAAAATTTAAAAAAAGAAAGAAAACATATCTTTTAAAGAAACAAAAAGGATTTGGGAACAAAGTTTTTTCATTCATAAAATTTCTTTTGAATCATCAATTAAAAGGAAAGAAAAAATAAAGTAAGATTAAGAATTTGATTTGGGGGGGAGCTCTGGTGGCCTAGTGGTAAGGAGCTGCAACTACAATCCCAGAGGTGCACGGTTCAAATCCACCAGATGCTCTGCCGGGGAAGGAGGGACAATCTCCTCCCGTACCAGTCAGATCTGATTTGACGGTACACTCACACAAAAATAATAAAATAAAATAAAATAAAAATTATAAAAAAAAAGAATTTGATTTGGAGAGGGTAGGAGCAGAGGAGTAAGGATTGTGAGGGGTGGATTAATTATCGGGTTGCACAATTTGATGGCAAGGTTGAGGGAAATGGGAAGGCTCTGGTGTGAAAAACAATACATTCAAATTATGTTAATAAACTAGTATAAAAAAAGGATCTGATTTGTTAAAAAAAAATCTGATCTGAGAGTCATATAATAAATAATTGACGTTCCCAAAACAGATGCATTTCTTCTGCATTTTCTTCAAAAGTGGAATTTTCTTGTATTGTAAAAATATCACCAATAGGTCTTAAAAATCATTTGGTCCTTTGTTTCTGTAGGTGGTCAGTACTCTTAGATACTATTCAACAGCTGATAAGTTATTCATTTATGGAGAGAAAGAAAGATACTATCCAGGAACCTTTAGTATCCTTGTTTTTAATTGCCATACTTCCTGAATGAAAGCAGCTCAATTTGATACAAGTTCAATGTCATATTTTTAAAGTATTATCTTATCTTTCTGGGTGTGAAATTGTGAACATCAATAATTAGCCTCATCTGAACCCTATGAACTTATCTTTCATCTAAGAAATACTGGCACTATGAAGAAACCGAATCGAGAGTTCAGAAATAAAACCTACTTATCAATAGTCTTTTGGCAAGGATGCTAAGTTTATACCATAGAGAACAAATAATATATTTTAACAAATGATGCTGGGACAAATGGATCCCTACATGCAAAAGGATGAAGGTGGACTCATCTCTCACATCATATACAAAAACTATTGCAGTGGATTAAGGACCTAAATGTAAGGTCTAAAACCATAAAGTTCTTCTTAGGAAAGAAACAGAGGTATTGCTTCAGAACAGTTTTTACAATGGACTGACTCTTAGACGTAACTAAAAGCACAAGAGAAGATTAAATAACAAATAAACTGAATGTCACCAAAATGAAAAACTTTTCAACATAAAACTTTCATTTAAAAGTAAATTATTACCTAACATGGGAGGGACTGGAGAGCATTATGCCAAGTGAACTAACTCAGTCTCATAAACACAAATAGTGTATAGGATCATTTTTGTAGAGCATATACAAGGATCCAAGGGTGGGGGGGTGCTTAAACATAGGGTAGCATGATTTGATGGCTAGAGAGTGGGATTGGTAAACAATGTATATGAGCTTTATGAACTTTGTATGTAAACCAGTATAAAAAAAAATTTAAAAAACAACTTTAAGAACAAAATGAAAAGACAACTTACATACACTAAGTAAGGTTTTAATATCCAAGCTATATAAAGAACTCTCACAAATTAACAATAGACAAACAACCCTATCAAAAAAAGAAAAAGAAAAGGGGTGGAGGTAGGAGTATATTTTCTAAAAAAAAAGAAAAACAAATGGCCAAAAGCAAATAAAAAGACATTCACTATCTTCAGCCACAGGAGGGAGACAAAGCAAAATCACAATAAAGTACCAGCCATCCCATCAGAATGGCTCAGGTTAAAATAAAGGAAATTTTTAAAAAAAGGAAATTAACAAATGTTGACAAGGTGGACTAAAAATAGGAAATTAGCAATGTTAAGGTTGAACCTTCAGCCACTGCTAACGTGAATGTAAACTGGTATAATCTCTGTGAAAAATTAAATGGCTTTTCCAAAAGTTGAATGCAGAAATGTCATATGACCCGGTAGCTGCAGGAGTGGAATACTATTCAGTAATCAAGAGAAAAGAAGTACTGATACATGCTACAACATGAATGAACCTTGAAAATGGTATGCTGAGTGAAGTAAGTCAATCATAAAAGCACAAACATTGTATGACTCCACTAATATAAAGTATCTAGGATAGGTAAATATATAGAGGCCAAAGTTTATCAGTGGTTATCAGGGAGGGAAGGAGGACGTGGTGCATCATTGTTTAGGAAGTATTAAGTGTCTGGAGATGGAAAAAAATGGCACAATTTTACAAAGAGGTCATCACTGCACATGACTAGTGCCACAGTACCCACGAATATGTTGACCTGGCTAACATTACACAGGCAATATCCAACTAATGGCAGAGTTCCCTTCTAGTGACTCCATTCTAAGTTGGTTCTGTTTTGTTTTTATTTTCATTATTATTGCTTTAATTATCAGTATTGCTATAAATCTGATCTTTATTTGTCTTTGGGAAGGGCTGAATCTACTAACATCAGCAAATTATGTACTAAAATACACCATACAGAACACATTACTATCAATAAGATGTACAAAACAATGAAAACCTCTCATGGCAGTTACAGTTACTACTCATCATAATTCTATGTGTTAAGTGAGAGGCCACCTATGCACATATATTTTTTTTACAAATGCTGAACAACTATGATAAAGTAGTGTCCACAGACTTCATTATGTAACAGAAGTCGAACTGCACTCAAGTTCTATGCATGACTACATATAATTCAAATGAAAGCCAGTTCCTTTCTATTTTCCCATCATTTGTTGCCCCAAAGGTCTGTTTTGTTTTTTTTTTGCTTGTTCTTTCTGAGGTCTGTATTGCTATGATGGAAGTCCTTCTGCAGGGTTCCTCTGGGGCCCTTCCCAATAACAACAAGTCCCATCTGAGCAATGTTCATATTTCCCAGAGTGTCAAATATCTTATTACTAAAACAGTTTTCATTCCTAAAATATATGTGGCAAAGAGAGCTGGGTACATTCCTTTTAAATTATGCATATCATGAAACTCTGTAACATCTTACCTTCGGCTAAGATCTGCAACATGCTCTTGAAGCCAACTTGTACTAGCAGCTTTAAAAAGAAAAATATTTAAATTATTCAAGTAGAATAAAACACTACCAGAAGTATTTGATCTCTTTAATTTTCAAAATAAATTTGGCAATGACTGTAAGCAATGTAAAATGATATGTTACTTCTTAAATTTAGAACAACTTTTTTTATGCCTTAAGTCAGAAACCATTTCAACTACAATATATAGGTGCCTTGAATGAATTAATGAAATTAAATGTCATTACTACAACTAACTCCAAATTTTAAAGGCCTTTAATACTGTAAAGTAGAACTAGTACATGAGAATAGGTTACAGATACACCAATTATTGATTCTGTCTACTTGTGAAGGCCAGCTGAAGAATATTTAAAGGCATATGCAAGTTACAGTTCTAAGCACCTTCCAGACTCAATTATCTCTTTATCTCAGGGTGGTGCAGATAATTTTTTGTGCTGCCCAACACACACAGGCAGAATAACAGAAAAGCAAAGAGCAGACGTGATTCCAAGAATACTTGGCTTTGAATTCCAGTTAACTTTAACTAGATATGTGCCTTAAAATAATTTACTTCATATACTTATGAAAGATCTCCTGTGACTCAGTACTTAGGGAATTGCACTAAAGCAGGCCCAAAGAACACAGTTTAAAATTACCAGCTGCCCAAGGGAGAAAAACAGGCAATCTCCCCCTGCGTGATTTACAGCCTCTGAAAATCCGTTAGAGGGTCAGCTATGAGTTTGTTCTGACTTGATGGTACCTAACAACATCATGATATGTATCCAACTTTCAACTCCTTATCTGGGAATTTGTTCTAAAGAAATAAACACATTTTATATAAAGAACTGATTCCACATTATGTTTAAGAGGAAAAGGTGGAGACATAAACAACTAATGTTTCAAAATTTCATGACAGAATATTATGAAAGTTTTAAAATATAATTTATTCCAAGAATATTTAATGAGGCAGTATTTAAGCTATGTTAACTGGAAAAAAAAAACAGATATAAAATTGCAAGTCTTTGTAGTCCATAAAAAAAGACTATGTATATAACACAAAGAATGTAAGGAATACAATTTAAATGTTTAGATGATAGACAGATAGATAATCAGTATTCTTGTATCTTTCTGATCTTTACAGAGAGATTGTTTCTAAATCTCTTTATGTTTTCAAAATTTCTAGAAAGAGCATTACACTATTTTTATAACTTATAAAGATTGAGAGTTTTAAAATTCTGATCATTTCAAATATTATTTAATTCTCTACATCAGTAATTCTTAAACTCTGACTCATACAAACACAACTCATAGTTCCTAACGCATGCGAAGCTCTGTAAGCTGCATGTCATTTCAGAAAGCTTTGTTCTCCTCATTGGTATGCGCTCCTCTGTGATCTCAAGTATGAGCCTGTGTATATACCCACTTTTGTTTTCACCTAACTCATGCATGAATTCATGGTAAATCCTTTTGGGGTTACAAAAATTCTAAAACACGTAAGTTACTGAAAAACTCCAGAAATCAGGATAATTAAATGAAAAATGAAGAGCTCCACTAGTCTACTGGGCAGGAAGTGGAGCTGCTAACCGAACAGTGGCATCTGTCTGGCAGTTCAAATCCACCAGCTGCTTTGTGAGAGAAGGATAAGCAATCAATCTCCTCCTGTGTAATTTATAGCCTCTGAAATCCTGTTGGAGGGGCAACTTAACAACTTAAAAGCAATGAGTTGAGCAGAGTTGTTGATATGAAAAATCTGTCTGGAATTTGTAGAAGTTTGAAAAGCCAAGAATACTTTGTTAAAAAAATAGTTTTGACACTTTCAAATATCTGCCTACTCGTAATTGTAAGAGAAGTTTCTGGAAACTTAAATTAACATAAAGTATTATTTGATTAACTATATACTAAGCAGATTGATGCCTCTAGGATGCTTCCAAACAGTTTTATAAAGGTAGATTTAAATTCACATTCACATTACCTGGTAAGTGGAATGTTTCATCATAGATAATTTATGTCAAATCTACCTGAACTTCTATTTTAAAGCTTGAATTAATACAATTTTATCACTTTCCACTTCCAGAAGATATGTGAGCCTCTGAGCCAGTTTTTCCCCTCAGAATACATAATCTTCTTATTTATCAGGGTGATCTGGTGGCTTGGTCCATAGTGAGTTGTGCTGCTAACCCCAAAGCTGTGCCACTCTATCAGTATGAATCTATCAGCAGCTCTGAAGGAGAAAATATGGGCATTCTCCTCCTGTGTGATTTCTAGCTTGGAAAAACAGAGGGTCGTCTATGAGACAGTTCTGATCCAATGACAATACAAGGAGTTTGGGGGTTTTTTAATTAGTTTACATACAAACTTTCACATAGATTATGTTTCTTCCACATACACTGTTATATCGCTCATATCTAATGTGTTTTATAGAATTAATTACTATTGATTCACATCTTTTATCACCCTGTCTCATCAAGGCCCCAGGGCACCTTGCCTATTCCTTCAACAGCTCCCCTGCCTCCCTATTTGTCCACTAATCTCTGTTGGTCAAGTGATTAACAAACAAAAGACTGTTTTTATTAGATACCAACTGAATTTTTATTAATAGTAAATAAAAAAACATACCTTCAGAGACATAAGCAAAAGGTTTATTCCGAATAGAAAGCATTGTAAACAGGTTGAAAGAAAGAGCCACAAATGTACCAACTAATAATCTTCCCCTAAAGAGAAAAATAATATTCACCTTTAATTCTTTTCTCGGAAATGCCACTATGTAATTTTTCATGCTGTATGCAAAGACATTAGGAGATGGTGGAGGGGTCTGCTGCAGTGTTTGCTATCTGCAGCATCAGAATCTGAATTGGTTTCCAGCCCTATTAAACTCACAAGCCTATATAGGACCAAAAAGAGCTACTAGCAGTAACATTATCTTCTCAGAAATAATTTTGTAATAATTTTTCACAAATGCTAATACTTGCTTTACCATCAACACTAGACTGATCAGACTTTTCTGAATTAAATTCATCAGAACACCTAAAATCCTTATCACTTGGTACCTGTATTGCAGCTAAGAACAATTCTATCTTTTCTATAAGGGCTACTGTAAGACTTTTAGGAGTCAAATATTGAATTACTGAGAGTTAGAGGGGGCTGGCTTATTGCGTTAACCTGGGCTTAAAAAAAAAGAAGAACCTAAAATAGGGTAGAAAAGTCTTACAGAGTACAAAAACATAAAAGGCTTGGGGACACATAAGAGTGAAGAGGAAGACTCTTGAGATCTGGAATTTTGTCTTTGAAATATCAATGAAAATGTGTATTTCCACACTTAGAAAATTTATGTTGGGGAAACAATCATCATCTAGCAATATATCAATTAATAACTGGCACTAAAAAAGAATAATATAAAAAATAAAATCTTACGTGTGTATCTCAGGCTGCTCCAAAAAGCGTTCGACACTAAAAAAAAGAAATAGTAATAGTCTTGTGAAGTCTGGAAGCAGGAGTGGTATTCACTTCCTAAACAACATGCCCATGGAAACTCTATGAACTCTGATAAATGACAATAGTTATAGAAAGGCTTCAGGCGTTTTGTTCATAGGGTTGCTATGGGAAATGCTCAACTTGATCGATGGCAATCAACAACACAATAATCTGTGAATTACTAAAATTAGAAAATGCTGCTAAAAATATATATATTCATACACCAGTAACCCAACTTAAAGATCACAGTCTTTCAACATGATAATCAACTACTGATTATAAATAATAAGAAAAACAAACTCACAAATCATCCTCAGTATGTACTATTATTTTCTACAAATAATATCCCATATAAATAACATGCACACACTACTCTTAGAAAACTAACATGCAAGGAGATTGTATGGTTTTCTAAAACCAAAAAACACATGTTGTTTTTATGTAAAAACACAGTAATGTCAATCTATCAAATCTATTTCAATGGGATAGTAGTAAACAAAACATGAGTAAGTAAGTGAGTGAGTGAATGAATCTTGTTTATTTTCCATTTATACAAACCAATGAGGGATTTAGTAGCATTAAAATAGTTAATAAAATTAACAGAAAACATAAACAAAAATCATTTCTATCAAAATTCCATCACCGTTCATATTAAATTTGCAAAAACAATCAAGCTAGGAATCTCTCTCACTGGATTATTTCAGAATCCAAAGAGAGTCACAGATGGGATTTAAGACGATAGCAATAAACCATGCAAATGTACCTTTCTTTCAGTATAAAGAGGGCTCCCAGCTGTGCCAACACTGTGGAGGCAAACACAGCCAGGACTTCTAATCTTTCAAATCTGAAATGAGAAAAATATACAGACCAGCAAATTATTTCAACTGACAAATCTCCTCTCAAGAACACATTTACATTCATTTATTCACTTATTCCATAAATCTGTGTGTCTACCATGAGCCAAACATTATGTCAGAGCAGACATCAGAGTTCCTAAAAGGATAATATATGTTAAGAATCACTGATTTTTCACGAAGTGTCTATTTGTATAATACATATTCTTAAGATCCACTTATGACCTTTATCTTGGTATAAATATCATATTAATACCTAACACTTAATTGAACAGCTTATTTCAGGTACCAGCTAAGTGTTTACTACTTCATGACATTATCTAAACCTTCCAATTCTTATGAAAGTTATCATTAGCTACTCTTTAAAAAAAAAAAAAACCACAAAAAATTAAGAACAAACAGATATATACTTGAGACAAAAAGAGAAAAACAACTCTCTAGACTCACAAAGCAAGTGGAAGTCTTCACCCTCAGATGCTCCTGCTCCAAAGTTCATGCTTTTAATCCACTTTTGAGGACTAAGGTGTATCTGACCAAAGTATTTTCAATCACTTTAGATAAATGTGAAAACTGGACAATGAACAAGGAAGACTGAAAAAGAACTGAAGCATCTGAATTATGGTTGGTGAAGATGAATGATCATATCATGGACTCCTAAAGAACAAACATCTGTAATAGAAGGAGTACAGACAGAGTGCTCCTTAGAAGTAAGGATGGTGAGGCTATGTCTTACATCGTGGGGAAAGTTATCAGGAGGGGCTGCTCTCTGGACAAAAATAGCAGAGTGCTAACAAACCAGAAGAAGACTTTGAATGAGATGAACAGACATGGTGACTACAAACCATGAGCTTAACCACAGGAGAGACTGTGTGGATGGCACTAGATGGGGTGAGTTTTCTATCTGTGGTATTCTGAGTGGCTACTAGTTAGAGTCAACTTGATGGCATCTAAGAATAGTAACAACATTGCAACCTGAATAAACTACTCCCTAAACCAAAACAAACCCATTGTCACTGAGTTAATTTCAACTCAGAGAGACCCTACAGAACAGAGTAGAACAGCTTTAAAGGGCTTCCAAGGCCACAAATATTTACAGAAGCTGACTGCCACATCTTTCTCTCACATAGCAGCAAATGGGTTGAAAGTGATAATCTTCTGATTAGCAGCTAAACACTTCAAGTGCTGTGACACCAGTGCTTCTGAGGAATGAGTTAGCTGTGTTAAACTAACAGACAGACAGTGTGATATGAGGCATAGAAGGTCTGACTCATTGCCATCACATTGGAACAGCCTCACAGCTGATGCTCCAGTAGGTTTCCAAGGCTATGAATCAGAGGGAAGGAGGAACTGCTGGTGGATTTGAATCCCTAGAGAGGCACGGCTTGTGGGTTAGCAGCACAAGTTCCTACAGGCAGAGTACAGTTTAGATAAACCCAAACCCACAGTTGGTAAGTTGATTCTGACTTATGGAAAGCCTTCACTGGGCTTCTGAGGGTATAAAAATTAACAAGATCAACATGCCTCACCTTTCTTCTGTGGAGCAGTTGGCAGACAAAAAATACTGACTTTTCAGTGAACAGTCCAACATGTAACATAATATGCTACCAGGGCTTAATTAGGGAAAAGAATCAAGATTTTATTCTAAGCATGATCTGGGAAACAACTAGATAGTTTTAAGGAAAATAATGATACTATCACCTAGGCATTTTTTCAAGCATTCTGACTGCTATATGGAGAACTACATAGATAAAGCGGCAAGACTAGAAGCACGAGAACTGGTTAGGATGGTAGACATTGTTTAAGGCAAGAAATAAAAGCAGCTTGGTCTAAGATGGTAGTAGTTGAGGTAAAAACTTGGGAGGAGAATGGGTTCAAGATTTGTTTATAAACCCTCTGATATAACAGAATCTCTTTTGTTTGAACAAGTGAGTTGTAGTGGAATGGGGAAAAAAACAGCAGAAAAATTATTGGAGAAAAAAATAAGATTCCTCTCCTAAACTGCTGTTATGTGCCATCAAATCACAGGTGACTCATAGTGACCCTAAGCCCTGCCCTGTCCCATGCCAAGACACCAATGAGGTATCCAAGTAAAGCTATATGGAGTTGATTGTTCAAAATGGCTTTCCTTGATTCATCAATTTTTTTTCCTTAGATGGGCTGTGCCAGAAATGATCAACTGGATGTGTGTTGGGTCAGGTCCTTAATGCTGCAATGCAAGGAGTGCAAGACTCATTTGTGTTTTCTGCTTGTATTTCTTTTTTTTTTTTTTTAATTAAACCCGTATAAAATAAAAATTTTGTTTAAAAAAAATGGCTTTCCTAGCCAATGAATTTTACTTTTCCATGTGGATGGACAGGACAGGAATATGCAAACAGAGTGTGTTAGCCTAACCCCAAGGGGATTGATTGCCTAGTCTCACCAATCCACAAGGGGACTGGCTAGTCTTGTAGCTGAGTGGATCCAGCAGAAGATCTTCCCTGCCAGCAAAGAAGTGAGAGAACGTAGCACATCCTTCAGACTGAGAAACTCTTGTGCCAGGTAGACATATTCAGCAGCAGCCATGGTGAAAGTAGAGAACCAGAGACCCAATATGAGATGGAGCTGACTTTGGGACTACTACATCCTAAGGACAGAACCAGAGCTTATCTAAGAGCCTTTGCCCAAGTTTGCTGGACAACTGGGCAAGGGGTGAGGTGAGGGAAGAAGCCAAAATTGGCTGGCTCAGAACTTCCTAACACTGGCCTAAAGCTGCAAGGCTCAAGGCTGAGGTGCCTGCAGGTATATTTCAGAAGCTGTCCTGACTGTATTCTCCTATTAACTTGGATTATAACCTCTTGACTTCCCCAATATGGTTCTGTGTGGTCTGTGAGCTATCACATTGGATTTTGGACCGAGTAAAGCAGTAAGACTGGTATTGAGATGAATAGAAAGAGATGCAGAAGTGTCAGGAACAGGTCTGACCTTGTGGGAACTGGTTCTGCGTTGCTGGCAGGGACAGTTTCCCTTAGTTGGAAAAGGTCAGATAAGGCTATCCCCATATAGTTCTTGCTCTTTATACAAACTGTCATAAAGGTAAACTAAAACTCTAAGCAGATCACAGGGCTGTTGCCTAAATTGTAAAAGTCACTAAATAAAAAAGATGATGATTGATGCATGTGATCGAATAAAATGCTATTTGAATATCTGACTTTAACTGCTCTCGTCTCCCACTTATTTGAAGCCAAATAGGTCAAAATTGGAGCAATCACATTCTCCCATGATCTAGGCTCCCTGGCAAAAGAAGCCAGATTAAAGGCAACATCAGTTCCAGACAGGACCTATCAATAGTTCTTTCCAATGATTTTTTAAACTAGACCTGGAAAATATTTCTTTTCCCTCTAAAATAAAGATAAGATGTGAGTTAAGATCTTATTAAGAGTTAACATTCCAGCTAAAGAGAAAACTGGTCTGGGAGACCAAAACTATATGCAGAGAAAAGCAGATTTGAGGGGAAGAGAAAGACAATGTCCTAACTGTTCCAGTTACTTTGTCGGTCACCTCAGACTTCTACCATTTAGTTAAATAATGGTCTCATTTTTTTCTTGCAAACCAATTTTAGTTGGACTTCTATTATTCATAAACAAAATCCCTGACTTAGGATCACAGATACACATACACACACCCCCATCACAGATGTACAGATTAATAAGATCGTGGGGCTATAACAACTATAGTTAACATTGAGAAGAATAGGAATTCCAGGACATTTTTATCCACACAAAATTTACACCTAGATCAATATGCTGCTGTGCAGAAAGTAAGGGAAAACTACATGAAAGATGTGTGTCAGAGCTGCATCCTTAATCCATACCTACTCAATTTGTATGTTGAGCCAATCATTCAAAAAGTTGCACTTTACGAAGAGGTATAATTAGGATCGGAGGAAGAGTCAACAACCTGCATTATGGAGATGACAACTTTGCTTGCTGAAAGTGAACAGGACTTGAAATGCTTGCTGCAGAAAATAAAAAAATATAGTCTTCAATATGAATTGCATCTCAACATCAAGACAAAAATTCTCATCATTGGACCAATAGGCAACATCAACATGTTGTTGTTGTTGTTATGTGCCATCGAGTCGTTTGCGACTCTTAGCAACTCTTTGTACCACAGCCTTAAACCTGCTCTATCCTGTGCCAACCTTATTGTCTCTGACACACAAACTCCCATTAACCCAGTCACTGAATCAATCCACCTTATAGAGGGTCTTTCTCTAGTGTGCTCTCCCTCCACCCTCCCAAGCATGTCCCTCTCCAAGGACTGGTCTTTCCTTGTGACATATCCAAAGTATGTCAGACAAAGCTTCAGAATCCTTGTCTCCAAGGAACAGCCTGCTTTCATCCTCTCTAGGATGAACTTGTTTGTACTCCCAGCAGTCCATGGTATATTCAATACTCTTCTCCACCACAGCTCAAAGGCATAAATTCATCCCTAGTCATTGTCCAGCGTTCTGACGCATAGCACGTAATTGTGAAGACTATGGGCTAGATCAGGCATACCTTTGTCTCCAGACTGACGCTGTTGCTCTTCAGTATTCTTTAGAGGTCCCTGACAGCAGACTTTCCCAATGCAATTCATCTCTTGATTTCCTGGCTGCTGGTACCAAGAGTGTTGACTTTGGAGCCAAGCAAACTAAGTCTGTTAACAATCTCAGTCTCTTCACTGTCTATCATGATGTCAATCGGCCCAGTGTTAAGTATCTGTTTTAGTGGGGTTTTTTTAGAATCTGTTTTCTCGATGTTGAGGTTCAATCCATATTGAAGACTTCGATCCATATTGAAGTCCTTGATCTTCTGCAGCAAGCACTTCAGGTCCTCCTCAAGTTTCAGCAAGCAGGGTTGTGTCATTGGCATAATGCAAGTTGTTGATAAGTCTTCCTCCAATTCTGATGCCACATTCCTTCTCATAAAGTTCAGGCTCCCAGATGATCTGTTCTAAATATAGATTAAAG